CTTTTTTAAAAAAAAATAATTTTCTCGTTAACGTTTCTTTATATTTTTCTTCTTATTTCTTCTTCTTTTACTTCACTTTATTCCATGCCTTCTTTTTTTCTTCTTCTTCTCAGCCAACACCTCATTCTATTTCTATTTTTTATCTTTGCTTTCACCACATTCTATGTCCTCTTCTTCTCCTTCCCCGATTTCTCTTTCTCCTCCTTCTTTTGTTTCTTCTTCTTTTCAGTATTTTTCAATTGCCTTCATCTCTAGCTGTACCTTTGTCTCCCTTTTATTCTTCTTCTTCTTTTTCTTCTTTTTCTTCTTCTTCTTACCTGACAGCATCTCATTCTACGCCCTCTTCTTCTACTTCTTTGCCTTCACCTCATTCTATAGCACTGACGTCTTCTTCTTCTTCTTCTTCTTCTTCTCCTCTGCAACCACTTCATTCTCTGACTCTTCTTTGATTTCAACTCCTTTCAACTTCCTTTTGCCGTTATTTCATTTTATATCCTCTTCTTCTTCTTCGTCTTCTTCTTCTTCTTCTACGCCTTCACCTCATTCTATGCCTTCATTTCTTCTTCTTCTTTGCCTTTACATTCTATGCCTCCTTTTTATTCTATGCTTTCGTCTTCATTATCTTTGCCTTCATCTTATTCTATGTCTTCTTTTTTCTTCTTTACCATCTCCTTATTCCTTGCCATCTTGTTCTTCTTTTTCTTCTTCTTTGCCTTCACCTCATTCTATCACTCTTCCTTCTTCTTCTTTGCTTTCATCTCCTCCTATTCCTTCTTCTTCTTTGCTTTAAACTCTTTCTATGCTTTCTCCTTTTTATTTTTCTTCTTCGTATCATTCCTTTTCTTCTTTGCTTTCACCTCCTTCTGTTTTCTTCTTTTTCGCCTTCATCTCATTCTATGCATTCTTCTCTTCTTCTTCTTCTTTGCTTTCACCTCATTTTATTGTTTCTTCTTTTTCTTCTTCTTCTTCTTCTTCTTCTTCTTCTTCTTCTTTGCCGTCACCTTATTCTATCCTTTTTATTTTTCTTCTTCTTCTTCTTCTTTGTCTTCACCTTCATTCTATCTCTCCTCTTTCTTCTTCGAATTCAGCTGATTCTATGCCTCCTCCTCCTCCATCTTCTTCTTCGTATTCCTCTTCTTCTCTGCAATCACTTCATTCTATGACTCCTTCTTCTCCGTCTTGATTTCAAATCCTTCCTTGCCGTTACCTCATTCTATACCCTCTTTTTCTTATTTGCTTTCATTTCAGTCTATGTCTTCCTTCTCTTCGCCTTCACCTCATTCAATGCCATCTTTCCTCCTCCTTCTTTGTCTTCACCTCCATTCTGTCCTTCCTCTTTCTTCTTCGCATTCAGCTGATTCTATGCCTCCTCCTCCTCCTCCTCCTTCTTCTTCTTCTCTGCAACCACTTCATTCTATGACTCCTTCTTCTTCTTCTTTGATTTCATCTACTTCTTTGAAGTTATCTCATTCTATACCCTCTTCTTCTTTTTCTTATTTGCCTTCACCTCATTCTATGCCTTATTTTCTTCTTCTTCTTTGCCTTCACATTCTATGTCACCTTTTTATTCTTTTTTTTTTTTTTGCTATCACCTCATTCTATGCTTCCGTCTCCTTCGTGGTCTTCTTCTTCTTTTTCTTTACCTCCACCTCATTGTTTGCTTTCTTCTTCTTCTCCTTCTTCTTCTTCTTCTTCTTCTTCTTCTTCTTCTTCTTCTTCTTCTTCTTCCTTTCTTTTGCCTTCGGCTCATTCTATACTTTCTCAATACTCCAACAACCCCCAAGTATTCTACCTGATTTTAGCGATAATTTTAATTGAACCTCAACTACCTGTTCATTACTTCTATTCCCAAATGTTCTAAATATGATGGCGCCAACTATTTGTCTCATTTTTATTTCTTTGTTCCTATAAGTAGTTCTTTGTGTTATTAGTAATTGTCGTTGTAGCGAAACCTCGCAATAGCATAATATTGTTGTAGTTATAGTTATAGAACGGGTAGATGGAAGGTTTCAGTGTCTTTCAAGCCAACATTTCGAAATCTTAAATATCCAAAACTTACAAGTCTTCTCCAACAACCTATTTAGTATTCTACGTGATTCTAGTGATAATTTTAATTCAATTTCGTCTTTTTGGGATTTGTTCTATGGATGTTTGGTACAACCGTTTTTCTTGTTATAATTACTTTAGTCTTATGAGTTGTAGAATGTGATATTAGTTAGAGTCGTATTAATAAAACATATTAATATTAATAGAACATAGAATAGTATTAACAAAATTTGGTGATAGTCATATAAGATATATAGTTATAATAATAGAAATAGTAATAGAATGGTGTTGTGGTATTTGCTAATAGAAACCGTAATAGAGTGGTGTAGTGGTATTTGCTAATAGAAATAGTAATAGAACGGTGTAGTAGTATTTGCTACTAAAAATATTAATAGAATGGTGTTGTGGTATTTGCTAATAGAAACAGTAATAGTGTGTTGTAGTGCTATTTACTAAGAGAAATATTAATAGAATGGTGTAATGGTATTTGCTAATAGAAATAGTAATAGAATGGTGTAGTGGTATTATTACCATTTTCTGTGTCTTTCAAGCCAAAATTTCCAAATCTTGAATATCTAAAAATGACAAACAATGCAAATAGTTTTGGGACAGAAATGACTTTTGTTTCAAAAAGATTTTCATTCTTTTATTTCTGGTCATTCATTCCGAAAATAGAATTGTTTTTCGCTTTTTCCGATGACAATTTATTCGCCTTTTTTTAAAAAAAAAATGTTCTGTCTATATTTGCGGTGAATGCCGCTCATTGTGGAATGGCAAAACAAGAGGTAAGTGTATTTGAAGTACTTATATATTTAGTCTCAGTAGTGGAAGGAGAGGGGTACACGAGGGAGAATGAAGAAATAATATAGCAAAGAAAGAAAGAAAGAAAGGATGGAAGGAAGGAAAGCGGGAAAAGCAGGAAATAAGAAAGAAAGAAAGAAAGAAAGAAAGAAAGAAAGAATGGCGAGAAAATCAGGAAATAAAATTGAAAGAACTGCTACAAAGAAAGAAAGAAAGAAAGAAAGAAAGAAAGAAAGAAAGAAAGAAAGAAAGAAAAAAGAAAGAAAGAATGGCAAGAAAAGCAGGAAATAAAATTGAAAGAACTGCTACAATGAAAGAAAGAAAGAAAGAAAGAAAGAAAGAAAGAAAGAAAGAAAAAAGGAAGGAAGGAAAGCGTGAAAAGCAGGAAATAAGAAAGAAAGAAAGAAAGAAAGAAAGAAAGAAAGAAGAAAAGAAAGAAAGAATACTTGATCTAAATTTTGAAAATAAAAGGAACAAATATTGCAAATAATAAATAAAATAAAAAATTAAAGAAAATGTCACTAAGAACGAAACGAAAACAGAAAGAAAGAAAGAAAGAAAGAAAGAAAGAAAGAAGAAAGAAAGAAAGAAAGAAAGAAGAGCAAGTAAAGCAGAAAATAAGAATTAAATAAATGCCAAAAAGAAAGAGAAAGAGAAAGACGGAAATAAAAGATGGAAAGAAACAAAGAAAATAGTAAAGAATGAAAGGAAAGATAGTTGATATCGAAAGAAGGCAGGATAGATCAAGAGAACGTAGAAGAAAGTCAGGCATGAATGAAATCGACAGAAAAGAAGATGAAAGAAAACGAATGAATCTTAAGTAACGCATTATTTTTTCATCGATGATTCAATTTTCCTTTCGAACTAAATTCGTTATTTCTAAAATCAAACGCGTCTTTTTCAGTTTCACTTCTTCTAAGTTTTATCCGCAGAAGTTCGGTAAAATCTATAAAAGGCATTGATTTTATTCTTTCTTAGATTGCAAGTTATACAATTTAGTTTTATTAGAAACTTAAGAATTTCGCTGATATCTGGAGAGGAAGAATGCGTTGCTACTTCACTATTCGAAATCGGAATTGTCTTTAAATACTGGCCACATGAAAAAAACAAACGAAACTTTCTCAGCCAACAACTAGAGTGAGCGTGAAGAAAGAGTCAAAGCAAAACATACAGAACATCTTTACAAAAGTGTAATCGATTTGTATTATTTCACTGCAATGGTAATGATAACGGAAATATTAGCCGTTTTCTTATAAGGAAACATTTGGTATTCATTGACCGAGCAGTCAGTGCGGCTGTTGGCTGAAATTTATAGAATCGTTCTCTTAAAAGAATCTTTCAGGAAATAGGTTTCTCATGTCTAGTCGCTGTTCTTTGTATAACTGACGGTGATTTCCTTTCTTGCTTTTTGTGCTGGGGTTGTGCGGAAGGTCAGCATCTTGATGACGTCATTATTCTCTCTTCGGATTATATATATGTGCTCCCTGTTGTAGTTGTTGAGCTAGTCCACAATGGTCGAGGATGGTCGTCTTTCAGACCTACATTCATCACTCGCTCGAAATCATTTTTAACCATCGATCTGAGAAAGCGTTTGTATATATCTGATAGTTTAGATATTTCCGAACAAAATTCTGGCGCTATGTATGACATCCATATGAAAGCCTCGATTTGGAACATACACCCTTGAGCAAATTAATTGAAACAAATGCTTTAGTTTCCTTTCTTTCACCATTTCATTTTTTGACCCACTGGAGTGACAAAGTGTAACCGATTTCTATTTTTCCTCAGATTAGGTCATTTGCAGTGGTGTACTGTAATATTAATCTATTTTTGAGGTATATGAAATTTATTTGGCCTTGAAAAATATTGCGTCATCCGTAATTACATCAGATTTTCATCACACACAGACACTATTGTCTCGACTGTCGATTAGTTGTCTTACGGCCATTGTCTGCGATGGACTTTACTCCAAGGAAGCGTACGTAAATTGTAACGCTGCACAAACACACTGGTAAGCCTTTCCAGTATGTAAATCAAAGTACTATAGACTGGCCCAGAAATTCTCCTGATTTAAATCCAATCGAGAATCTGTGGTCAATCTGCAAGGAACGACTTCGTGGAATGGACATACGAAGTACTAATACGTGCACTGATTAATGTTTCATTGGAAAAATACGAATTAAATGTAAATAATAACTGAATTATTCGTTTTGTTTCAATTAATTTGCACAAGGGTGTAGTTACTACAGTTTTAGAGATGTCAATGTTAACTGACAAGGACGAGTGGAAGTTAGCTGACTATTGGAAAAGGTTAACCTGCATCATGATGATTTGTTCCGGCCATCAGAATACAACAATCATGGCTGCTGTTCAATGCACTTTGAACACCTGGAAAACAATTGAGAGAGCTGCAACGAATACTACGACGCCATGGCTGCTTAGGAAAGAACACGGAAGACGTTCTGATTGCCTTCGTACACCGGGCGTCATCCAACAAAAATAAATAGAAAAAAAGGCTAAAGACATACCTACCTACTCAATAAAGTAAAGTGCTCAAAGTTTAGATTGCCTAGACAGAGCAAAAACCGATTAAAAACGTTAAATCCTATGAAAGGATGATGTAACGAACACCTTATTTCACCACGACTTTCACGAACACGTTATTTTCAGACGACTTTCACGAACACGTTATTTTCAGACGACTTGAACGTTCAAGTCATCTGAAGATCGCATGGGCGTAAAACTTAGGTTGCGACTAAGTCCATTCATATATATATATATATATATATATATATATATATATATATATATATATATATATATATATCGGCAGCATTAAGAGATGTGCTGTTAAAGACTATGGAACTTTTTCGTTTAATAATCTTCTTTTCTGTTTTCACTTGCTTTCTTGCAAGTTTCTTTTTTATATATTTGGGTCTAAGTTGTTGAAATAAGACCCTAGTCCATGGTGTTTTGCCGAGCGCTTTCGGTTATCGTTTCGATGGTGTTTCTCACATAATAACCCTAGCACATACATCGGACACACAGCTACAACTCTCTCACGTAGTTTGACATACAACCTTAACGACACCAGCGCCATATAAAATCATCTTGTAACATCACACTGCTCCACCAGTAGCACATTCAAATCACCCGAAATAAGATAAATCTTCATTAACACCACCTAATCCTCTATAAAAACAAATACAAAAAACGATTACAAACTCTTGAAGCCATTCTAATTAAAAACCAAAAAGCCAACATAAAAAATAGCACTTAATACCGACAGAAACATCTTAAACACATTTAATAACTAATCATCTAAAAAATACATCAAGCCTATGTCGAGATGCAATTTAATGTGTTGCAACTAGTTTGAAATGTAATTTTGTTGAGTGTGCGTTGCTTCGTTTTAATGTAGATTGCCTTCAATATTTGAAGGTTCTTTTTACTGTGTATTATTGGTTCTGTTGTAATACTTCGGTCTATCACGTGCTATGACGTCACAGAACCGCAATTTTAATTGCGTCTGCTATTCCGCGACCGTTAACGTCGCATAGCATTTTTTTTTTTTTGTCAAAATAACAAAATATCATCTTTCACGCTGGATATCTTTGTTTCATGTCTCTATAATCACTCTGAGGATGGCTCATGTGAGCCGAAAGCTTAGGATCAATTTAATAAAAAAAATATCCAAATGTTAGACATTTTTTTGTCTTTATTTTTATTAAATTAAAGCAAACATTTGAACATTAGAATGGCATATGATCAGACATAATAGACATTCATTGTCTGTTATATTTTTATGTTTAACAATATATGTTTATATATATATATATATATATATATTAAAATGTCCGTTTTTAAAGACCTAATAAGTGATGTATGCATAGGTGTGTGTTCATAAAACGGAAAGAGAGATAGATTGAGAGCGACATTAATCAAAAAGACCCTATTGTTCAATGACGTAT